GCTGCTCACACTCCTTTTGCATCAGCCCAGCACACAATTGGCTAAAATCCTCCTCCTCTTCCCCTGGGCACTGAAGGAAGAGGAAGGAAAAGCAAAGATAACATCCTCACAATACCATAGTAAAATGTATCAAGTTTCTGCAATAACACAAGATGCATCTGCAAGCCACTTAGAAATCATGTTTTTCCAATCACATATCTACTTTTAAACTGTCATTTCACCATGCCAATTGCCTTCAACCACAGCTTATTTCTCTCCTTGTGAGCTGCAATGTTTGAGTCTTTTGGCTTCTATATTCCAAAGAACACAACCCATCTGTAGATCAGCGTTGCAAAAGGATATGACACTTTCCTAGCACCTTTTCACCAGTCAGCAGGAGAAAACCACTGACCAGGAAGCTTTAATGCTCAGCTTACAAGAGTGCTGTCTTTAGTGCTTTTCTTATGTTGTTAAACATTCTAATCTATGAGATATGAAAGAATTTCAGTGTTCACCACCAACGTGATACAATAGGGTGGACAAGATAGTAGCTACTTTGTAGACATGCTGCAAATTTCCTTAAGTACAGATAAGGAGGAAGAGGGGGAAGAAGGGCAAACAAACAGTACTTCTTCACTGTCTCCTGCCTTGTGGTTTGTAGGATTTCATCTCCAAGGGGAAAACTCCCAGTGCAATTCAAGACTTCGCCGAGGGCTACATCATTATATGGTAGGTGGAAGCTGTGTGGTTTTCTCCTGGAAAACAACTCAGAGGATACACACAAAAAGCAAATATACAACCAGACTTGGCAGTATCTTTGCACATACCTCTGGTTAATAGAGGAAATAGCTATTTGGCTTTAGAAACCCTCATCAGCTCAATTACAGAAGCAGGCCCCACTGGGCCAGACACTGTACATGACAACAAATAAAAACAAATAAATAGTGATGCCCTTGTTGAACTCGCCTAGATGGGAACATGAAATACAGAATGAAGATAGCAGCTTTACTAATCAGTCAAATTGCTGGTTACTCTCCTCCTCCTAAGTCACTAGAATGGAAAATGTGTAATAGGAAAAATATCCCATTCTACCTTTGCTATACCTAGCTTGTAACCACCTCCCTTGCAACTTCCCTGACTGCATTTGGCAAGAGAAAGGGTCTTGCACCTCAAAGAAACACTGAAGATCAGTGAGAACATAATGAAGGGTGCAAATGGAAGTCATTAATGGTAGTTTCCAAGGACAGCCGTATTTTTCCCAAGTCATGCTGCATTCTGTCCTCAAAATCCACATAACTGCTGGGTTTGTGCCTGTGCATACACAGCAGCTCACCAGAAAACTCAGCAACGCAGTAAAAAGCCGGGGAGTGGAGATGCTGCTTTAGAATTCGTATAAAATACAAATGACAGGACTTGAATACCCCACTATAGAGTGGGCAGAAGCAGGTATAGATCCCTCCATCTAACCCCCACCTACCGCAGCTGGGGTCAGCTCGGTGAGGGCGAACTCCAACAGAGAACAGTGTGTGTGCTCCTGGTACAGCCTGCGGCATCCTCATCCCTGCTGACCTCTGCTTGACACTGTCTGGCACAGAAGCAAACTGCTCACGAAACCTCTCCTCAGCACTGAGGAATTACAAACAAGCCCTATAAAACTAAATGGAAAAACAAGACTAATTACTAACTGGCCCTCCACAACATTTGCCTATGTACTGAACCGTGGCCAAGCTGCAGGCAGCTGACTTGCAGGGAAACGTCTTTATTCACATTGGATGCTGATCTGGTGGATTTAGCATAGGGGCTTCTTCTAAGTGCAGTTGAATTTCAAAACACCATGGTCTGTTCCAGAAGAGTGATGTGTGACCTCCCTTTAAAAGCAGGAGCTGGTGCTGCAGGATCTAGGGCTTTAAAGATAGAAAGCGCTATATTCTTATTGTTATTTACTGGTTAATCTTACTTTGGACAAGGAAAAAAAGCCAAAGTGTAATACTTTTACCAGATATGTATAACTACCTCAAATTTACTTTTCACTAATTTCGGTAACCAAAAGATTTAAGTGTTCTTCTCAAGATTACTTGTGTTTTCTGCTACCCACAGAACAAGGAGTAGCAAAAACCCCCAGAAAGTATCAAGGAGAGCCTAAGTTTCACTGCAGTCCTCTTGCTTGTTTTCTTCTCCAGCAAGTATATGATTAGCTCTTCAGAAGACTGCTGCTGATGCACAGCCAGAGGCTTGCATTACACAGAATTATGTCACAGTCTCTTACAACGATACTGAACACTCCCAAGTCTGTAACTAACAGTAATTGCGAAGATTTACTTTTAATACACATCCAGATGTATAAATAACACATTTTAATGGGCCATCAAGTAGTCCATACATTTTTTTTCTATTGTTGCACCGACAAAAAGCAGCACCACGACCTACTGTGGTAGATGAAAGAATCCCTGCTATTCTTCGCATGCTTGCTACAGGCAGTATGACTTGCTCATTCTCTGGGGAATTGAAGTTCAAAGTTACTTGCCTCAAATCCTCACTAAATCAAAGAGCCAGGCTGCCAAACTGAGTGCTCTCCAGAATCACAGAATCCCACACTGGTTTGGGTTGGAAGGGACCTTAAAGCCCATCCAGCTCCAAGCCCTGCCATGGGCAGGGGGCACCTTCCAGTAGAGCAGCTTGCTCCAAGCCCCTGTGTCCAACCTGGCCTTGAGCACTGCCAGGGATGAGGCAGCCACAGCTTCTCTGGGCACCCTGTGCCAGTGCCTCAGCACCCTCACAGGGAAGAGCTTCTGCCTAAGAGCTCATCTCAGTCTCCCCTCTGGCAGGTTCAAGCCATTCCCCTTGGCCTGTCCCTACAGGCCCTTGTCCAAAGCCCCTTTCCAGCTTTCTTGTAGCCCCTTTAGGTATTGCAAGACTGTTGTATGTTACATTCTGTTGACTGAGATAGCTGCTAGAGGCAAAACTAAAAAATACATAACATTTAAATGGATACTTAGCATGCTCAAAACTAAGTACCCCTGCATGCGAGAGGACCAAAGTACTCATGACATCACTAGACAAAGCTTTTGTCCAAAAAAGTTGTTCTCAGCAAGTATTTCAGACAGCATCTAATACTCCAACCCCTCATTAGACGAGCATTATGCTCATCATACAACTTGTCTTTGGAAACCAGGCCTCCTACTGACGCCAGGCCTCACTTCAGGGTTCTAAATTAATCATCCCTGATAAATGAAAGTAACTTTTTGACACCTCTGCTCAGCTACACTACCCAATTCTCACAGCTAGGTCTCCTCTACTCTAATAAAGAAGAAATATTTCAGCAATTACTCTGCTCTTTACCTTATCCTTCAGGGGTCAGAGAGTAGAAAGACAAATCAGCTCTAGAAATCACACTTATAGCCCTACTTTTCAAAGTAACATCAAGATTTGGTTGATCCTATTCCTTGCATTCTGTTCTGTTCAAACCTTCCAGAGCTCCACTCAAAAGAAAAGATTCTGCTCAGCCATCATGCAGGGTCCCTCCTCTTAAGTCTGTTGCAAGCTTTTGTCTTCATCTGTCCTCCAAATGGTGGAAACAGAAACAGTCTCCTCCGCATATTGCTACACAGCTACCAGAAGAACAAAAAAAAGTAGGCTTCATGAAAGACAACAGCACAACTAACCATGAAGTCCTGCCACATATGCAAATAAAATGCATTGTGAAACTCCCTCACCAACGAGATCTAGTTCAGGTTTAACAACAGGCCCTTTTTATTATTGTTCCAGACGCCCTTTTTAATGAAGTCTTGAGTATTATGCCCACTCATGCCATGACATCAAATCCTTCTTGAAATCATCCCCCTTTAAAACCCATGCTTCGTACCAATATAACAATAGCCGTGAATAAGAATGCACCATCATGATCGTAAGGCACTTTGGTTTGTTCATTTTCTGTTTTAATGGCCTCATTTCGCTGTTTTAATAGGTTCACGTTAGCTCTCGTACTCTGAACTAAGCAAAAGCAGAGCCAAGGCACAAGCCGCATGCAACACATTAGTCATGCTCCTGGATCAGACCTTCAAGAAAGGGTTTAGCACTTCGGCAGCACTAACAGTTGTTCGGGGAGCAGCACACCCATCACTGCAGCGGATCTGAGCTCCGGAGAACCCCAACATCAAGGGATGAAGCCCCTCAATGATACCTGCGGCCATCCATAGGCATCTGCAGGACGCGAGGCCGGCGTTCCCCTCCCAGCGCTGCCACACCTACAGCAGCCAGCACGCCTTTTGTGCTTCCACACGTACTTCACTAGTTTACATTCCCTCTCGGGGCTTAGGATTCATTGTCTGGGGCCGGAGCGCGACGCTTCCCACACGGGCCGGCGGCTGTGTCAGCCCCGCAGCCGCCCATCCCCGCACCTCCCGCCTGGCTCCCTGCCCCGCCAGGCGGGCTCGGGAAGGAGGTAGGCAGCGCTGCTGCTCAATTCCTCCCCCGCGCCCCTCCCGGCGAGGCGATTTGGTTAAAATGAGTAAGATTTAAAGTAGCCGGATCCCCTCCTCCCCTCGGCTGCCCGCCGCAGGGCTGCCCGCCCCTCCCCGCCGCGTCGGGCCGGGCCAGCGGACGGGAATGCAGTAGCCGCCTTAGACAAGCAGGTTTGGCACCGGGGGAAGAACCGGCGGGACACGGGCGGCCCCTTCATGCCCGCATCCCCCCCCACCTCACCGCGGCCGTTGCCTGGCCCATGTGCGGGGCGGCGCTTCCCCCTCCCGCCATTAGCATAACAGAGAGGGGAAGAGGGGGAAAGAGGAGAAATTACAGAAAACAAATAAAAATAGCGAAGGGGAGGGGGGGCCTTTTCTCCCGCATAAGCTGCGGCGGGGCCGCGCCCCGGCGCGGCGGAGGGGAGGGAGCGATGCCGCAGGAGGCGGCCGCTGGCCGGCAGACAAAGGGAACCTCCCGTCGGGGCAGCGGGCAGCCAAAGCGGGGCGATTCGGGCGAGGACCGGCCGCCGCCCTCCCCGGCCCCGGCGCGGAGGCACTCACCAGCCGAGCCGGAGGAGGACCCTCTTCTCCGAGGAACGACAGCAGCGGCGGGCTCGGGCTTGGGCGGCTGTGGCTGAGCGGGGGCCGAGGGCTGCTCCTGCGCGGGGGACGGTGTGGTGGCGGACGAGGAGGAGGAGGACACGGCTCCCAAGGGACTCCAGTCGGGCTGCGGTGGCTCCGGAGCGGAGGGGCGCGGCGGCTCCGCGGGGCCGCCGAGGTCCAGCAGCTGCGGCGGCCGGTCCTGCAGGGTTGCGGCGGGAGCTGGGGCGGGCTTCCTCTCCATCACCTCCAGCTGCTCGTCGAAGTCTTCGTCCTCTTCTTCTTCCTCCTCCTCCTCTTCCTCCTCCTTCTCGTCGTCGAGCACGAACTGGTAATTAAACTGGGGCTGCTGCGGCCGCGCTGGCCCGGAGGAGGAGGAGACCAGAGGAGACTGGTCCAGCTCGTCCATGGTGCCTGGAGGTGGCGGAACAATGAGAGCGGGCCGCTGGGCTGTGCCTGTGCCGGCTGCGCCGCTGCGGGACCGGCCTCCCCGCCCCGGTGAGTCACCGCCGGGCGCGGCCGCCTGCCCCGCCCCGCGGCGCTGAGCGACAGCGGCGCTGGCCAATAGGAACGGGAGGGGAGATCGGAACAGCCAATAAGGCGCGGCGCTAGGTGCGGCTTCATGAATATGCAGCGTGGGAGGCGGGGCGTGCGGGGTGGTGGAGCGGGGATGGAGAAGTCGGGTAAAGTTCAGCGGCGAGAATGCGGGGTGGGGCCGGGTGGAGAGGGCGGCACCTCACTGTAACGGGGCGCTGGGGAGGTGCCCCCATCCCTCTATCCCCCCCTTCCCAACATCTCCCCATCCCTCATCCCCCAGTCCCTTTATCTCCCCACGGGCCGTGCTCCGGCAGCGCCGTGACAGACGCGCTGTGGGTGCGCACCGGGGTCCATCGCCTCCCCTCCAGCACTAGGGTTACTTTTAGCTCCCTTAGCCGGGAGCGATGCCGCAGGGACCGGTCACCGCGCCCCGGTGCCTCTCACCGCTAAGAGCCAAGCGTCCCGGGTGGCTCCGCACTGCGGGGTGGGGGGAGGCTCCTTCTCCGGCCCCGCAGGCAAGGAGCCGTCAGCGCCTTCCTCGGAGGAGAGCGGAAGGTTTAACCACAACATGATGCATAAAGCGGGCTGGGCCTGAAAAACACACAGGAGGGAGACGTGTTTAGAAGAGACAAACTTGTCCGGTCGCTCGTGTTAGTTTGGGTCAGCCAGCTGAGCAGATCCAGCCATCTCTGGTTGAATCCCAGCTTGTGCTGGGGAAAATGGCAGCAGTTCACAGAGCAGAACTTGGCCTGTGCCTGCATTGGGCCCCGGTGCGGTTTCTTGCTTTCTGTGCAGAGATGGAGCATTGCCCAAAGCCCTCAGGGTAACAATTTAACTGAAATGGTGTTTATTTGGACATAATGTCCACCCACAAAGTTATCACAATAAGACCAAAAGGACTTAGAACTCTGCGTTCAAGGATGCTGGAGAGGGACTCTTCATCAGGGACTGTAGTGATAGGACAAGGGGTGATGGTTCAAACTGAAACAGGGGAAGTTCAGGTTAGATACAAGGAAGAAGTTCTTTACTGTGAGGGTGCTGAGGCACTGGCACAGGGTGCCCAACGAAGTGGTAAATGCTCCATCCCTGGCAGTGTTCAAGGCCAAGTTGGACAGAGCCTGGGATGACATTGTCTAGTGTGAGGCATCCTTGCCCATGGCAGGGGGTTGGAACTGGATGATCTTAAGGTCTTTAACAATCCAAACCAGTCTATGATTCTGTGATTTAATCTTATTCCAGCATTATTATGGATTTTTAACTCACAGATGAGTTATTCTCCCACATATGCCTGTAAAATTAGCTCTTAGAAATGTTTGGAGCATGCAATGGCAAGTTCCATGAGACATGAGAAGTTAAGGAATAAAAGCACCAGCTCTTCTGTTACCTCTGCTGTACCATGGAGGGTGGGATGTCTGCAGAGATGGATGTTCCAATGAGCTGCCCTGTTATGCAGAAGGGCTGTTCCCAAGTGGGCTCTCTTCAGTGTATCTGAACACAGTGAGGGGGCAGCTGTGTTTCTTCTGCATAGGGAAAAGCCTCTGGCATGGAACTGGGGTTGGATCTCCAGCATTCAGTCACATTCTGAAAAACAGGATGGCAACACACGAATCAGGGACTCGAAGGGCTCCCAGAATTGAGTCTGCTTTTGCTTCAGGAAAACATGACCATATATTCTTTGCATGAACTGTCTGAGCCCAGACCATACAGGAGAGCTGGAGCAGCTCTGCTCTGGAGCCAGGCTGAGAGAGCTGGGCTGGGGCAGTCTGGAGAAGAGAAGGCTCCTTGAGGGGAAACCTGAGAGCAGCTCCAGTGCCTGAAGGGGCTGCAGGAAACCTGGAGAGGCGCCTGGGACAAGGGCCTGCAGGGACAGGCCAAGGGGAATGGCTTGAACCTGCCCGAGGGGAGACTGAGCTGAGCTCTTAGGCAGAAGCTCTTCCCTGTGAGGGTGCTGAGGCGCTGGCACAGGGTGCCCAGAGAAGCTGTGGCTGCCCCATCCCTGGCAGTGTTCAAGGCCAGGTTGGACACAGGGTTTGGAGCAGCCTGGTCTAAATATTTGAGTTATTGCTGCTATTTGTATTCTAAAAATACCTAAATAACTAGAGATCTCCTCCTAACATACAGTTTTAATTTGCCCAAGGCCAATGTACATCCCTTAACTATTTTTCCCTTTGTTTTTTTCTCTGAACTTTAATTTCTAACCTGCTTAAAAGAATACCCTTTGTCCAGCCCTTGCTGTCTTAAGCTAAAGCTAGAGAATCTCCACTGTCTCCTCTCCCTTGCAGCCTTTCCTTGCACCCGATTCAGCCTCAGTTTGGCCACAAGAGGATCCAGATGAGATTTTTTCCAGCATGTGCAAAGACATCAATATTCCTGATCTCCATCAGGAAGGACCAGAAGGAATGTGAGAAGTATTTTTATAAATACACTAAAGGCAACATGCTTATCCTGACTGAGATGGTGGGTCCTGATGTGGAGGATCATAGCCCTACATCTTTGCTGGAACTCCAGCACCAGCACTTGTGTTTCACTGAGCCAGGAACTAATTTGATTCATGATTGAAAATACAAACTGATACCTTCAGTCTTTGTTTTACTTCCCAGATAATGCATCTACAGCAGCTGCCTCAGTGTAAATGCACGCAAAGGAAACCTCCCCAATACCTCCTCTCTTTTCATACCAGGCAATCACTTCGGAGAGAGCTCAGTTCTGGGTAATGTGAATTCTCAGAACAGTTATACTCTTTGAAGAAGCTTAGTATATTAAATTGCATTAAGAAAGGAGTAACATTCTGGTGATGGCTTTTAGCTGAAGAAAACAAACCCAACAGGGCACATTTAATGACCTCATTGATGAATAGCAGTCTGTAGTCTGCAGTGGCATTCATCCTACCCCATGCACAGTGGATGTCTGGGCTTCAAATACTTTATAAAATGGAAAATAAGCTTTTCTGTGTACTCATTTACTACATACTGGGAAAGTAAATGGAGTTTTATTTTTGTATTGTGAATCTGCGCTCTTTGTAAAGCAAAGAAAACCATTCTGATTGAATAAAGTCTTCATAATTTCACCAGCCAATCTATTTTCCATGTTTCCTGGTTAAACAAGAAAATGGAATTTTAACACTCCATTAAAATATGCCCTAAGGCAACAAGGTCCTTTGAAAAACTTAAAAAGTTCTGAGTACAGACGCAGTGCTGAACCTGATTTTAACAGCTCTAACTGCAGGGGTTTGGTCACCTACAAGTAAGGAAAAATCTAGATATAATTCAGCTGATTTTATCAGAAAGCTTGAAAGTGAATCCATCATCAGTTAAGGACAAATGAAAGGGGGTTTTATTTAGGGAACGGAAGTGACTAAAGGTCTTGGAGGGAAACAGGAAGGGAGTTCCAGATAGCCTGGGCAAGGCAAACTAACAAGTGAGGGGAAAATAACAGCTCTCCAGTACTGAAACTACACTGCAAAGCAGCCTTTCTTCTAGCTCTTTAGAAAAATACTTTACCATTCTTATATGAAGATTATCAGGAAGCAGGAGTATGCAGCAGGTATTCAGCAAGTTCATTTACTTAGTTTCCATGAGGTGTTTCTGTATGGCAAACTTGGGAAGAAAAGGATTCATCACGTGAAGGAGGAACATCAGTGTGTTTCCAAACTTCCTGAGCAGTGCTAATGATGGCCATGGACTGACTGGAGTTTTTCTGTCCACTGTGACCTGTTAGATCTTACACGGATGTTACATAATATCACAGCATGTCATGGACTAGGAAAATAATGATGATGGGACAAATGCAGTATTATCACTTCACAGCAGGACCAAACAGAAAAAAACACATTTGGGCTCTGATAGCAGTTAAAAATACGGAGTTAAAGTCACAAGGGGCTGGGTTTCTGTCCCTCCTTTTAAGCTTGAAGTACAATTCTTCAGGTTTCAGGCATTGTGTCTTTATCTCTGGAGAGATAAAACTCTGAGATTCTTTAGTTTTCAGATTATGCCCGTGCTGCAGCACCTTGGGCATCACGAGTGAAGACAACTGAACATCTGCTGCAGCTATTTTCAAGATGTTTTTGAGATCACAAGGACATTGTGACAAAATCACTGCTTAGTTCATTAATACAAATGCAGCATATGGAGGGAACAGGTGGTAAAGCAATAATACAGAGGGATTACCATCTCCCGATAGTAACTGAGTTGGGTTCAGCTCTAGCAGTACCTTCTCTGGGGCTGCCTTTTAGCCTCATCCGCCACAATCATTAATGTTTTCTTGACAGTAGTTTTGAAATCTTTTATGTGCTTTAGTGTTCCCGGCACTTCCTATTCTGGAATCGTTTCTACCGTCCCATAGGCTGACTTAGATGGATCCAATTTTTCCACTTTTTTTATGCTCTCAAAATCATCTTGCTAAGCCAAAGCAGTCAATTTCTACAGCCAGTGTCCTAGTGACCTTGTCCATAGGCAGTATTCTGATTCAGACCTGTCACAAAACTTCCTTCAGCCAGTCTATCTGCATGAATCAGAGTGGTTTAAGGACAGTCCTAAATTATACCAACTGTCATGAGTGAAAAGTTGCCATTAGCCCTAGCTTTGAATTCCTACACCCAGGTATTTTCCTCCTAGGCCATAACTTGGTCTGTTCAAGCTTTCATTCAGAGGAACCAAAGTTGAGGTATAACATGAAAAATGATGGTACAACAGTGAACACAACGATATATTTGCTTGATCTTAAAATACACCAGCATTTGAAGTGAATCAAAGCAATGACAATGCTCTCCAGCAAATGAGGCTGTGACATAAGAAATTCACCTCACTAAAACTGCACAGGAATTCACTATTAAGTGGATTTGGGTCTCATTCCTCTTTTCCTTGGAAAGAACCATTAGGTCTTAAAAGACAATACATAGTTAAGACACTAGTTTTGTCTTACTGACATGTAGGACCTGAAGCAGTGGGGTCCTTCCACACCCAAAGATGACACTGCAGAGAGGTGAGACCTCTGCAAAAACCTCAAACATTTCTGATACAAGCCAGGATCACAGAATCAACCAGGTTGGAAAAGACCTTTAAGCTCATCCAGTCCAACCATTCCCCAGCACTGCCGAGGCCACCACTAACCCATGGCACTGAGGCCTCGTCTCCACGGGCTGTGAACCCTTGCAGGGCCGGTGACTGCAGCCCTGCCCTGGGCAGCCTGTTCCAATGCCTGAGCACCCTCTGGGGCAGGAATTGTTCCTCAGCTCCATCTAAACCTGCCCTGGGGCAGCTTGAGGCCGTTTCCTCTTGTCCCATCCCTTGTTCCTTGGGAGCAGAGCCCAGCCCCTCCTGGCTCCATCCTCCTGTCAGGCACTTGTAGGGAGCCATCAGGTCCCCCCTGAGCCTTCTCTTCTCCACACTGAACCCCCCAGGTCCCTCAGCCCTTCCCCATCACACTTGTGCTCCAGGCCCTGCACCAGCTCCGTTGCCCTTCTCTGGCTCCGCTCCAGCACCTCAATGTCTCTCTCGTAGTGAGGGGCCCAGAACTGAACACAGGATTCGAGGTGCAGCATCACCAGAGCCCAGTGCAGGGGACAATCACTTCCTTAGTCCTGCTGGCTATGCTGTTACTGATACAAGCCAGGAAGCCATTTCCTGTAGCACTTCCGTGTTGTTCCTGGATAACCTTCTACCTAAATAATAAGCCCAGTGAAAGCCATTTGACTTGTAGGACAGACAAGTTCCCAACAAGCAGATAGTGTGGATTTAAGATAAATATTTTCCTTGAAGTCTTTTCCTCTCTGCCCAGCCAGGGAGATGAGGGTTGGACCCTCTGAGGGACCATGCAGTCAATCAGGAAAGTCCTTAAGTGAAAAGAAAGCCTAGAGGTTTACCTTCCATTATTACAACTATGCAATATATTAATAACAAAATTCAATCAAATGTGTCCATTCACACGTTAATAAGAGTGTATTAGGAAAACAAAACCATGGGAATGTGGCAGAATGATGTACACTAAACAATTGCTAATGCCCCTTGCTAAACTCACCAGGGCACTGTAGAAATTTTAAACCTACAAGCATGTGAAGTGTTCTGAGACTCTCTGTGAGCATTCCTGAAGTTTCTAAGGCATTAGAATGAATGGTGAAGATTCTGATTTCTCTAATTCTGAGTTTCCAGATTACCCAGAACACAGGTAATTCCCTACTGCAGGTTTACCGTTTCCTGTTGAGTAAACCAGTAAATCTGCTTCAGCCCTCCTACTTTTAGGAAATACAATGAAATCATTCACTTACCAGTTTGGCCATAGTACTTTACACTCCTGAGGAACATAAGGACCAACTTCATTGGACCTAGACACAAAAAAAATCCATTCTCTGTTATTCCCTGCTGCAGACTAAGGTAGTATCACAACTACTTTTTCCAGTTCATGTTCTCCCGTCCCACTTTTCATTTAAACATGAATGCTTAAAATCAATGTTAAGTTTAGATCTTGGCATCCCTAAATCAATACTCATGGACATGTCTGAATCCAAACTTTTCAGACTTTAAACTTAATGATTCTTTCTAATGGTTTTATTATGGTTTTCCTCAGTTTTATGTGAACATCCCACACACTGTAATTAAAAGTAATGAATGAGCAGTGTTTGCTCCCTGTGTGCCCGGGGGTTCAATGGAGAGGAAAAAGCCCACTGACTCCCAGTACCTTTTGGGTCATTTGGACTGACATATCTGTGACATTCAGTTCCTGGAGATGGAGGAGAGGAGGGGTCTACTCATCACATCACAAATTAGAGCATGGACAGAACAGTTTTACAAGTTACAGGTGTAGCTTTAGAGCAGGACCAGAATGTGGATGGTATGTTCTGGGCTCAGAATATCCAACCTCTCTAAATCAGGGATGCTCAAATCTCTGATTTCTTAACTTGGAATGTACAAGTGACTGAGCTGAATTAGCTGAACAAACTGACTGAGGGAAGCACATGAAGGGGGAGATGCAGGTGGCAAGAGCCTCTCTGGCAGCTCCACCATTCTGGTTCCGGATGTTGAACTAGTGATGCTGCTGGCTCAGTGTCTAGAATTTACAACTCCAACAGCAAAAATGAACCATCTGAAATCATGGTACTGTATCTACATCATTTTAAGAGCTTTTTTAAAACTTTGGAATTCATACAAGTTGTAATCGTTTGGAATTTAAATTGGTTTGCTTTTTTAAAGAAAAAGTGTGTATAATTGAAATTGGAAATCAGTTTTTGCTCTTTTCAGCACTGGTATTTACCCATTTAGGAAAAAAACAGCCTGGTAACCAACATCCAGGGTTACTCCCCTGGCTGCTAAATAGGTCTGAGGAGTAAACAGATTGATGGTAGCAACAATTTCAGCATTATTACAGCCAAGGTTGATAGCATTGCTACTGGGACTATAAAACTTGTACAAGCAAAGCTTGCACTGGAAGCAGCAGTACTGGTTTTAAATGGCTCACATTTGAAAGGTACCAGCCCACCATCTTCTAGCACTTTGATTGCTGCTTAATAACATGTCCCTTGTAACTGCTTTTATCAGACTACAGCAGCTGGAGTTATGGTGGTGCTTGGGGGTTGCATTTTTGACTTCCAAAGCAGAAGGTGTGGCAGCTTTGGAAAACACCACCAAGCCTGTGACTGTGGGTTCTTTCTTACAAGCATTTAGGGAGCTCTTCCTCTTATCTGGGTCAGACAAAGATAGGACACCTAAAAAGATCTTCGACATCACTACCCCGCTTTCTCGGTATCACATCAAGCTGATCATACACTGAAGTCCTTTATCTCCCTCAACTTTGCCCACATAAACCATTCCAGCTTTAGAACACTTGGGATGATTTCAGTTAACTATGGCAATGGCAGAAGACTCAAGGATATTAAATTCCTGATAGTTTAGTAACAATCAGCAGCTGGCTCAATTACAGAGAGCTGAGGAGAACTTGGTTTTACCCCTTCCATTTGGGAGCCATCAGCTTGTATGTAGTTTTTACAGATGTGTCTGTATTTTACCCAGATGGCAAAAGCAAAAAGAAGGATAAGAGAGATGTGAGAACAACTGAAGCTATACCAGATGCAAACAATGTAAGGCCTGGAGCTGTAGGAAACCTGAATTTGCTAGTTTTACTGGTTTTGGAACTAGTTTGTGACTGCTGTAGACAGGGATGTACTTTAGGTGAGTCATGCCAGTGGTGAAGACTATGTAGGTGCAGCCACAGTTTTTGGCAAGGATGGAAAAAAAAGGAGATTAATCTTGTAGGCTGAATTCTCTGATGTATCCTGTGAAAAGGAGCAGAAGCAAAAAGAAGTCGCATAGGGCTACTTTATTCCCCAAAATAAGGGTTCTTCAGACTTTCTAGGCCAAGATATTTGGTAGGTATCACTTATTCTAAGCAATTTTCAAGTGCACTTTTTTCCTTGAAAATACAGTTTTTACTCTTCTCATTATAACTTGTAAAAACTAACATATTTCAGTAAAATCTGACTTCTTGAATACCATGTAACAGCTGCTTAAATTATTACTTCAGCACAGGCCGTTGGCTAAGATTAACTGGTTTTATTCCATCAGGTAGAATCAGGTTGCTGAACAGTGCAAGTTTTAATGTATGAGCCTTTAACCTGACCATACCCTGGGCAGAAATGCTTGGGTCAACTGAAAGACATAAACTCAGTGTGGTTTCAGAGGTCGCGAGCTCTGTGTTGTTTCTCATCCAAATCTTACCCACTTCAAGCTTTAGAAAATAAAATCACAATTTATATCTATCAGTGTTGAAGATTTACCTCACAAAATTGATTCAACAGAGTTCCTGTATGTTTCGCATTGTGCTATTTAATGTTGAACAGATCCCTCTGATGGAGCACATTACAACCTTCCTGAAGCCAATACAGATGAACTAAGATAGCAGGCAGTGTCTGCCCTCAGAAACCGATCTCATTCTCCATCTCTCTTTACATGCAATCTTTATTTTTACCTAATCCCTGTTCACTCAGATTTTTTTATGAGAATAATTACTTCCTTAAAACTTCTCTTTTTTCCCCAAATGTCACCTGGCAAATCAGTTTCAAATGACGGCTGCTAAGAGAATAAAATCATATAATGCTTCAACTGTGTAGTCTGCTGTAAAGCCAGCCTCATTGAGTGATGACAAGCAGCTTTCTGGCACACTAGTAGTAATTCCTTTTACCTAGACTATAATCTAGAGGAGGAACAAGTTAATAAGGCATACAAATATGTGAATACCTAGAGGCTGCTGTTAAATTCATGTCAATTTATTTCTTCTTTCAGCACAGTGCCTTTCATACACTTACAATTACAGTGTAAGACTGTTTTGTAAGTATTCTAATAAAGAATGAACTCAAAATCACAGGCCTATTGATTGCCATTCTAAATAAATTCTTCTGATGGGGAGAAGACAGCCTCCTTGCTCCTATTAGTAAGCCTTTCTCTATTCCACTCAATAGCGTGTGATCACAGACCATACACAGGCAGTTTCTTTGTACTTGGCCATGGATGTGATGGTAAGATATAACTCTGGTCACCCACTTGGTCTCTTTTCAGCACTTAAGGAAGTGCCATGGCTTACCTTCTCCTCTTGTCTCAGAGGAATCCTCAAACTCAGCCCACTTTCAGACAAATCCCCTCACCAGATCATCACTGTCATCCCGTTGCTGCTCATCTCACCTGGTTTAGCCTTTCTCATAGCTTAAAGTTTGTACAGGTATTCAATAGTTGTTCTGAACTTCTTCTTTGAAGCAATGTATCCTTTATTTTTCTTCAAGAATATAACAAGAAGAAAGGTTCTGAAACACCAAGATGTATATGCGCTTTATATTACCTAAGCATAATACTTCATCAAAACTTCTCTCCTGGCTTTTCCTCTACAGAGTCAGCCTCTCTGCACAGATCTGAGGCACTGCCCCCCTCCAAATCCATTTCTGTGGCTGCCCCAGGATGCTGAACTTGTAAAAGTAATTTATGTATCCCACTGTGGGACAAGAGGAAAGACAGCTGGGAGCAGACAAAAACAGATGCTAAAATGGACTAGACCTCCAGCTGCTGACCTACAGAACAGAAAGATCAGCACTGGCAACTGGCACAGTCTAAAACTGTTAACTTGAGTTCCCCCAGACTAAAGCAGCCTGCTTAATTCTTACTTCTTCACATAGCATCCATCGAACTGCAACCAAAAAAAGATAAACATATTGTTTCTAAAACCAGTAAAGGATATTATTTCCCGTATTCTTCAGAAATAGCAAGTGCTATTTGAACTGCTTCAACAATGAAATCAGGTGCCCCCATATAAATACATGGTATATGATACATTGGTTCCATTTCAGACCATTTTATGGCAACATTTAGATTTTTATTGCATTCCTACCAATATGTCATTTTTAAACACACTATATTAGGGATTTTGTCTTCCTCCCCACTTGGAAACTTCAGTTCTAAGTATGGATATTCCTTCAGCCTAAGTATTTATGCATTTATAGTTGTGTGGGGCATGTATATATATGTATGTATAAATGCATATGCAAAATGTGAACCAAAAAAGCAGAATATACTGTCTCTGGCCGAAGTGGCTGTTTGGCTTTAGTTAGGTTCATGTTTGCCCTATGGAGTACTCAGGCTTACAGCTGAGTACTGAGGCTCACTGTCTTACGCAATGCACTGGCATGTCAAGAAGCTGATCCCTCCTACACACAGTTCATAAAACACAATGCAGCAGGTGGATGAAAGACATGCTGCGTGGGGGTGTTTTGGAAAAAGGAGGTAACAACAAACCAAAGAGGTCAGTGGAAAAAGAGCAGTTAGTTTGCTATCTACCACTATTGGCGAGCTGATTTCTCTTGCAGATGTTTGGGATTTCCTTGGATTTGAAAGATGGATCTAGAAGTAAGCAAGTAATTATACATGTGGATTGGAAAAAAAAGAGTAAAAAAAGATCTTCAGTGAGCAAAGAACATCATCCCCTGCTACTAAATTTAGCTACATAAGCAGACTAGAATATAGATAGAACACAGAATCATAGAATCAACCAGGTTGGAAAAGACCATTAAGATCATCAAGTCCAACCATTACCCCAGCACTGCCAAGGCCACCACTAACCCATGTCACTGAGGGCCTTGTCTACATGGTTTGCAGACACTTCAGGCACTATATATTATATTGTAGCACACACTTCTGATCTCCTCAGTTGCAAGCTTCTAAGACAAAGACTGCATCATCTCCTATCTACAGAGTGTAACACAACGAACCCACAATCCTGATCACAACCCCTATGGTACATGGCTACTATAAATACCTCCTGCCAAGATGGGCTTGTCTTTTCTTTCTTCTTCCATCAGATTTCTCTGACAACTCTGCTGACAGGGCAAACACATCAGCTGGAAGCGCTGCTGAACCAGGTGCTGGTAACCCACACTGCAGAAGTTCAGAAGAATCATTATGCCAATGAAGTTAATGGCACAACATACAGAACAATTTGATTTCTACTTGTTCTCCTTCATGTCAGCACATGACTTATCTGTTTTAAAACCCCTTCTGAGTATTTGCAACATGCACACTCTAACGTGTGGGATATGTGTATGCAATGTTTGTAGCTCTGTCACCTGGGGCAACATCACGTGGGATTTGACAAGATAGGTGGGTTTGGCAATACTTGGATAAGGAACCCACGAGATTACTGCAAGAGAGAAAGCTGGGTATTGGTGTTTTCAGTGCTGTTGCACAGAAACTCTGACACTGCCATGAGCTGTGTGATGCTCTTCCAAAAATAATGGCCATTTAATAGGGTAAGCATGAAGAACGGCTGCCTGGTCCTGCCCCTGTGTCTGAATGAAGTCACTTGCTCAGGAAGAACAACCAACACTGAAGCCAGGAGTTTGGGGGCTTCTCAGTGATGGTTATGAGGGGGAGAGATTCAAGTGGCAAAGGAAAAAGGTGGGAATTTATGCACAGAACCTGTGATGACAGTTGAGCAAACTCAAGGTGCTTTGCAGCCTGGATGGGGGAACAAGCCAAGCAGTGTCAGGCAGCAGCAGCTGGAGGAGAAAGCAAATAGGCAGAACAAAATGGAATCTGCATCCCAAAGTTTTCGAGCCAGGCATGGGAGGGTTAGGAGAAAAAGATTGAAATGAATCATGAGCTCAACACAGAAATTGTAAAAGATGAAGGCAAAAAGGAATGGGCAAGAAATTTTCTAGCACAGAAATAGATGAGGCAGAGAACTGGTGAAGTGTAATTTCAGGTTACCTTGCTGCATGGAATGTATTAATACTTTGATACAGTTCTGTTATGTGAAATGAAGACAGAAGAAAGGAAAGGGCGTAAAATGCTCCTTACAAGCAGAAAACCAGATGAGGCAGAAAACCAACAAAAACTGTGATTTCAAGTTACTTTGCTGCACTGAATGTAGTTAGCGCTTGACTCAGTTCTGTTATTTTAAATGCACATTTAAGCCTGTATTATTCTCTACTCTCCCTTCTCATTCAAAACTTACTGCTAAGGACCAGCTTTCCTCTCAGGCATGTGCATGTGAGTGTCACTACAGTAAAATGCAGTTGTTTGAAGGCAAAAGGACTAAAGTCTGGTGCAAGAGAGCTCAAGAGGCAGTTGTTGCAGGGCTTTTAGTATGATGAGGACCAACTTTACAGCCTGACTTTCCCTTCTGCTTATTCAATTGTATAAATAATTAAAATAGGAAGGTGTTACCCTAAGTTAGACAATGTTCTGAAACAATCATCCATTCATTTAATGAATAATAACAAATCTGAGTCTCTGCATTTATGAACACCACTCAGATTAAATGTCTTGTAGTCTAAGAATTTACCCTCAAATGACTATTAAGCAAGAAAAACCCAAACCCACCCACAAAGAAAAGCTGAAAAGGCATTTGAATGTATAATAATAAGCAAACCTGTTACAATGATTAAACTTTTAATGTGATTAAAGTGTTTTGGGAGGATTACACCTAAAACCTAGAAAGCACGATAAAGCTGGGGGAAAATAGAAAGGTATTCAAACTTAGAAGTGAGCAGTTCAAGAGATGCAGCTATTTAACTCATCCCTTCTTCAGCTGAAGGAAGTATGACTCCAGTACAGCCACTTCAAACCAGAGACTGGGTGATGAAGTGAGAAACACAAGTTAGCTGAACCAACAAGGGTTTGGGAAAGCAACTTGAACCACAGCTAGATGGGGAAAAAAGACACTTAAAAAGGTCGGTGTTGTCCTAACATAAAACTACCAATATTATATAATCCTCAGTGCTTGTGAGGGTTTGAAGTCCCACGAGAGTTGATCTGAAGTCCTGATGCATCAGTTTGAGGGCTGGATTGTGGACCACTTTCTGAGGATGCAGCAGCCCCGTGGAAATCATCTCCCCCTTGTTTCTCCAGAGGGAGTTTTTCTTCTACACAGCTCTGCAGTGTAAGGAGCACAACCTCACTCCAAGAAGACCACAGCACCCTGCCACAGCTTGACATGTTAATGACATTGGTAGACTATGTTTTCAAAAGATAACCCCAGAAATGTGTGGAATCATGCAGATCTATGTTTCCTTCTGGGATAAATGGAGTGATCCTTAATTGTTGCCAACCTGGGTAAAGATGAGCTCTAGAGAGTTCATGTTATGTATTTAAGAGATTTGTCACTACAATCACATCCAACCTTCTTATGCAAAGAGTTATTGGATTAGATCCTCAGCTTGTATAAAATTCAGGCTGCTTCATTGAAATCAACACACTGTTGGGAATTAGTGTTGGTTGAGAATCTGGCTTGCCGCAGTTAGGCTCATAAGGCTCAAAACTAACTACATGAAACGCGGGCTATATGAAAAGCATGGCATCAGGACATATCTCTGTGCAGAATAACACTCCAAGCTGAAATCATACCAAAGTCACCATACATCACAGAAGCATTGGAGTGGATGGAACCATCTGACTCCTGTCCTGGGTTCGCCCAAAGGCTGCCTCCCCAGTGTTTAGTCCAAAAGAAAGGTCAAAAGATCATGTACTCTTCACATACCCATATGCCACCAGCTAAACCCCACTTCCTAATACCCTACTACAAGCTTTTAGCCCACAGCAAAGACCGAAAATGACAGCAGGTCTCTTCAAAGATAAACTTTACAAATACTCGACCTCCAAGATCAGTTACATGCTGTTTCCTGTTACTGTCTCCAATGCCCTACAACAATCTTCCTCTGTATATGTGAAAAAAGCAGAACCAATACTGCTATTGTTCAAACTTGAGCCCATATTCCCACTACTTTAGTAATACAGTTTCTATATGGGATGGTATGCAACACTGACACCAAAGACATCAAGAGACGGATTTAGTAGGACCATGCTGTGATCTCAGGCTGACAAAGAACAAGCCATATAAAGGGCTCTGCAAAGTCTAAAAGATCAAGAAAATCAATCTTTAAAGCAACTGTTGTTTAGAATCTCTCTTTCAGAGCTGTATAATGGGTTTAATGATACCTGGCTTCGGTGTCAACTGTGTCTGAAAATGAGTGAATGTGGCCACTTCCTGTATTTTTCAGAAATGAATGGATGTATCCATAAAATGATGTTTAACTGCACCTATTTTCTTGTATCTATCTGCAGATTTCATCTAATCTTTGTGCTTGATTCTAAGCTGAAGATTCCCCTGAATAAAGTCCACATATTTCTAAGAACAAGCAGTTCAGATATTTCTATTCTAGTTCCCACCATACCACAAGAACTGAAATAGCATCAATTAAAATTGTCATTGACCTCTCACAGAGCACTGATATAAAAGCCATTCTCCCTGTGTCCCAGCTGCTTTTTATACAACAGGGTATTTGATTTCCTCTGAACATCTGATAGAAAGATTAAGCCATCCAGTGTTCCCAATTAAAACCAGTTTGTGTTCTACAGTGGAGTTAACTACTTCATTAAATCACTCATTATGGATCTTCTCAGAGCACTGTGTTCAGTTCTTCAGTCTGTAGGTTTTTTTCACTTACGGATCTAATAAAATCATCAGGAAGCTTAAATTTCATTCAGATGCCAACTATCACAAAGATGTAATTAAAAATCATTACCACTATTCCATCTGCCACTTCTGTGTGTTGTCAGTGTACCTGACTCCTCTGTGTCTCTGCTGTTAAGAGTCTGCAAATGAATGCAGGATGAACAGAGAAAATATCTGTGTTATCTGGACACTATATATTTCTTTCACACCATCCCTCACTGCTCTTTCTCAACCCCAGGAGTCTCTGGTCCAGCACCCAGCCAGTGCTCCTTCATGGGAGCGAAATGCTTCTCCTTTCTCTTTGGGAATACTGCCAGTACACTTCCTTGCCTCTGCTGGATGAGACTGTCCTTCTTCATGTCTGTGCTTTGTTCCATTTAGACCAGCGTAATGTTAGACCCTTTCTGCTGATGTGTATGCATGCAGAATTAATAGACTTCATCTACTACAAAAAGATGTTGGCAGGAGTTTTGTTGGCAGCAGACAGAGTAAGCACATAACTCCCTTCGTAGCTTAGTTACCCTGGTTGCCAGCCACATTCAATATTGGCCTCAAGGTGCTTCCTCTTGACCTTTAAAGCCTGATGGAATCTCAACCCGGGTGCTTCCTCCAAGGCAGCAATTCCCTCACCTTTCTGAGTGCCAGGCAGGCCCATCTGAGTCTTCCCGCTACCAGCAGTTATACAGATGTGCCCACCTCACCAGCAACTTGACTGCGCTACAATCATTCTCCTGCAGAAAGGTCCAACATACTGTGATCACCAAAGTTACACAGAGATTGTAGTCGAGATTTTTTTGCCCTTCTTTCCTCCAAAATGCAGGTTTGGTGCCTAAAGTTACACTGAAATCCCTTATTTTTATGTAAATGCTATATCTGGTTGTTATACATTAAAACAAAAATTGAAGTTGTTACTCTTGGTCATATTCTTCCCTTAACAAAATAACACAGAGCTTTAAGAAATAAGTGATCCTGATGGCAATTCATCTTACTGGATAAAAGTATTAAAGATAGGGAGCTCTCTTTAGCATATATCAATCCACCTTTATTTCAATCCAGTAAAAGTTGCAATAAGCCAATAACACAATTCAAGGACACCAAATTCCAATTTTTTTGGTCCTCACATAAATGAATAAAACCATAGGCACTCTCATTTGCTTCTATATCAACAAACAAGTCTTGATTCTGCAGTACTTGTATCATGTGTCCCTCTTTGTCGTCACAGCTTGCTCTATCTAGCATACAAAACTGTGCTTTGTAGTAAATTATTTGATGGACTGGATCTAAGAGTAGGATTTCTATTAAAAAAAGGTTTTACTTTAAGAAAATTAGGTTATACTCTGAAAATAAAACACAATTTAAAACAGTTTATAGCCAGCTTTTCAGGGGGAGAGGTCTAGATTCTGTTAAAGATGCAGATTCAGTAACCTGAATATCCTTTCTGCACTATGAACCCTTCGGCCTTTATGGCACTTGCCTCAATACTGCCAATAGGAACAGAACATAACAAGCAGCAGAGTTTGCACCTATGGTCATAAATGCAGCTGCAAGACAATTGTATGCAAATATGTAGTCACAGTTCATTTCAAAATACTATTTTAAGCACCAAATTCAAACTGACAAAACTGTTTAAACAATTGTCAATAAATATGTTCACTAAAATAGGAATATTTTTCCCTTTTTTATTTACTTTGCAGTGGATTTGCACATCAGTCCTCTCATAAAAAATTATTTTAATAGATAAAGAAATCTAAGCTTCTTTTTAAGGAGTCCATGCTTCAGCTTCCCTGTCAAAGTTCAGCTTTTGCAGCTATCACCTCTTGGGAAAAAACTTACACTGTTTCCAGAGAAACACATAGTTGTGTTTGAACAGAGGGCATAGCCTGTGGTTTTAAAACCTGGCTGTACTTAACAAAGCACTGACGCAGGCCTGCATTGCAGAAGGCTTATTTCCGAGCAATAAAAGACAGCATAAAATAAGAAAGCTGATCCTGGCCTCTTTTTATCTTACTGGAGAGTTTGGCTCAACTCCAGTCTTCCCTCAGTGTAGGAAGCGGTTAACAAACTACTTGTCAGTATAAGAAAACAAAATTATTCAGCCACTTTACCTTTCTGGTATCATTCTCCTCAGGTTCTGTTTCCTAGTCTTATTCCAGAGCCTTCTTTGACATGAAGTGAGTATGATGAAAGCCACAAGCGATGCCTCCACTGTAATTGCTGCTACAGGTACACTGTAATTGGTACAAATAAGTTGTCATTTTTTATCATAGTAAAAGAAGGTGTGGTTTGGTTTGTGCTTGTCAGAGGGTCTGGAGGAGTTTTCACAACAGAGAAGCAACGCTGCTTTTATTTTAGCAACAAGAGCTGTTCAAGTGATGGTATTTAAGGAATGAGGTCACATATTCAAGCTGTTTAGATACAACAGTGTTCAAAGATGTCAGTCAGGCTCCAGAGGAGATAAAAAGTGCATCAGCTTATCAGCCAGGCATTTCTAGCGCTGGTGTGCTTCCCCCGTTTAATAAAGCAAGGCATGCAAAGTGAACTCCAGCCTGGCACAGGGAGCTGCTTTTGAAGCCCTTTATACAGCATGGCTAGAAAATACGAATTACAAGGCTTGATGCATCTACCCTTCAGTGGTTCGAGACGATCAATCCATGTCCTTACCTAGATCAGTAGTTTTCCCATGTGTTAGGAAAGATTTCAGTAAGATGGATGTTCTAGCAGGAAATCCCAGGCAACCAAATATTCCAATTACTATATTGGTGAACTTTAGCAGTGGAAAGTACTAATCTGACTTTATAACTTCATCCAGATATATTTAATTAACATGGAAGATTTAGTCCAAGATTTTTGGCCAATGGCAGAATATATTGGGGTGTTCCCATGAATCCATTGAAAGGCCAAAATCTACTCCTTTAAGTACACCCATTATGTAAAAAATGATAGAACAAGGGGTAATGGGTTCAAACTTAAACAGGGGAAGTTTAGATGGGATATAAGGAGGAAGTTCTTTACTGTTAGGGTGGTGAGGCACTGGAATGGGTTGCCCAGGGAGGTTGTGAATGCTCCATCCCTGGCAGTGTTCAAAGCCAAGTTGGACAAAGCCTTGGGTGACACGGTTTAGTGTGAGGTGTCCCTGCCCAAGGCAGGGGGGTTAGAACTAGATGATCTTAAGGTCCTTTCCAACCCTAATTATTCTCTGAGTCTATGATTCTATAATGACTGACATGGCCTGAAATCAGTTGCTATGACTGTAACGTCAGTGGAAATTTCCTTGACCACAACTAGACTTCAACTTGATCCTATGTAAAAAACATCAACAAATCGTGGTTTCTTAATGGCTAGTGAGTGACATGGCCTTTCTCAAAACAGGCTTTAGAAAGAGTATTTGCCACTTACGTTTTCACAAATATCTTTTTGATATGTGTTTAAATTATAATTTCTGTTACTATAGAGCCAAAAATTAGGTATTACAATCACTTCTCTGAAGAATTTACACTGACCAAGGCTCCACGTTGAAAATATTTGCATGGATGAGTCAATAAAAGTATTCACATAAATGATTCACGTGTATAAATGTTGCAGACTTTAGCCAAGAAAGATGATAACGCTCAGTCCAAAACCACTGGCACAGTCTTTACCACAGGCAGGATAAACAAGGCTGTCAGGCAGTGATCTCTATTAAGCTTTTATGAAACAGTTTATGCCAAATATATTTCCTCTGACTTCACAGATGCAAAACAATTTATTTCCAGGCCTCAAACATCTAGCAGATACTCACATCAGGCTTTAGTAATTTACATCATTACAAAGAGAGCAAGATCGGGCCTTTGCACTGGTAAATATTTCATCTTATTCAGTTTCTACCTTCCCCTAAATTGTGTTTTACTGCTTGTGTATTGAAGCAACAAGATTGCAGCAGTGATGAAAAGTATTTACAGCCCAGTTTGATTTACATGCTTCATGCTTATACAGAAGCCAAATATATTCAACAAGCCTCACCCATACATGTGAATTTTGCTGGAAGAAATGAGCCTGTGTTGCTTAATAGCAATACTCTGGGGCATAAAGAACTAGCTCCAAAGAGAGGACCCGAATTTCAGGAATTAACCCTGAGAACTTGCTGAAAGGCCTCTCCCATTATATTCCTACTTCAGGGACTAGTATGATACCAGAAACCCAAGAATACATAAGGATAATCGAGAGATATCACAACTTCAGACTCTTCCAAATGTGATCTTGCTTAATATTTATGTTGACGAAGAACAGAAGATGGGTGGGTAAAAACCTTTAACAGCGACTTGATTACTGCAGTCATGTGCTCTAATCCTTCAATTCAAAATACTTCTCAGGCATAAGAAATATCAAGCAGTGAGTTAAGCAGACAATTATTCTGACCAAATACAATGAACAACTCAGTAACTATTGCATTCCCACTTTTAGCCTGGACACAGCAGCCAGAAGGTATTCACTATTCATCTCTAGGCAGACAAAAGAAATGTGGAATATCCAGCTGTAGAAACCATCAATGAAAGCACTGTCATAGAAAATGAAAGTACTGAAGGGAGCAGCCAGTGAGTAAACTGAGACAGTTAAAACAGGTATTTTCTATGACATGACTACAATTATTCTTGTTCATTTCCATTCTGTATCAGTTCTTCTTTTCTTTCCCCCCTTTCACCAATACAGATATGTAGAAAATATAGATCATAGAATCACAGAATCTCAGACTGTTTTGGGTTGGAAGGGAGCTTAAAGCTCATCCAGTTCCAACCCTCTGCCATGGGCAGGGCCACCTCACACTACAGCAGCTTGCTCCAAGCCCCTGTGTCCAACCTGGCCTTGAACACTGCCAGGGATGGGGCAGCCACAGCTTCTCTGGGCACCCTGTGCCAGCGCCTCAGCACCCTCACAGGGAAGAGCTTCTGCCTTATCTCCAACCTGAACTTCCCCTGTTTCAGTCTGAACCCATCACCCCTTGTCCTGTCACTAAAGCCCCTGATGAAGAGTCCCTCTCCAGCACCCTTGTAGCCCCCTTCAGACACTGGAAGCTGCTCTGAGGTCTCCATGCAGCTTCTCTTCTCCAGGCTGAACAGCCCCAGTGTTCTCAGCCTGTCTCCATACAGGAGGTGCTCCAGCCCCTGAGCATCCTTGTGGCCTCCTCTGGACTTGCTCCAACAGCTCCATGTCCTTCTTACAGCATCAAGCTTTCATTAAAAAGATTCTGATGAGCATTATATTTTTAACTTTTTAACCAAAATTCCCTTGGCTCTACAATACAGCAAACATCCCAATAACCTCCCAGACAAATGAAACCTCTCCTAGGCTGGCCATCAAGCAATTTTCAACCAAAGTAATTTACTTCCATTATAACCAATTAGCAGGGCACTAACAGCATTTTACCACTTCATTATTCCCTGTTTTCAAAATGTGGGTGATCCACCGTGTTCCAATGTCTCATTTCATGGCTGAATAAAAGCTCTCACAGTCACTTTATGCATCTGATTCAGAAAATCTGCCATTGCTGCTTAGAGATGGAGTTCAAATAGAAATGAATGATTGAGCCCATGTTAGTTATTTACCAGATATAAAGCAATTACAAGTGGTTCTAATTGAGGTACATTGCAGTTGTGTTAGATGCTGTATTTACTTTGGCCAGATCCTCAGCTACAATAAGCCAGCAAACCTCAATTACATCCATTAACCTGTGTAATTTAGGCCAATATAACATAACTGCTCCTGGATTTTTCCCTATCGTTATGCTTGCCCCTGCTAATACACTTGTTTCTTGTGGAGAAGCAGAATTACTGACTGTAAAAGCAAAGTCCAGATGAGGAAGCCTGGAGCAGCCTTTTCATTTCTCTACTATTATTGGGTAGACATCACACAAGAGCTTTAAAAAGAAATCCCCCCAAACTGGAACGTGCTGTCATCTTCCCATCAGCTATAATATACATATCTATATCCTCACAGACCCTTCTTCCCTTTGACAGCCCCATCAGAGCCTTCTCCAGCTGCAGCCTTCACCAGCAGATCTCTGGAAATGGTGTCAGGGACTGATTTAGCCCCGTCACACAATGCTGCTGAGTAACTCTGCTCCTCACCCCAGTCAGCTCTGCTGCTGTCACTTCTGAGTCACTGCACTTGCTGAGGAAGCAGCCTGCTCTTCAGACTTTCTTTGCTACATCCAGGCTGAGTTCAAAGTATGCTTGGCAATGTCCCACAGTAAACCAAAAGGTCCAAATGGGCTCCTCTGGGGAAGGAACAACAGGCAATCCCTAGCCATGACTTACTAAAAACTTGTTTTGTAGCTTCTTTTTTTTACTCAGGAGTCAAGTCCTTTCCTAAAATCATACATACAAATCCTCAGAACGAAAACCTTTTACAAGGAACTTCTGAGCTCACTTCAACACCCTCTGCCTTCATTCCCTTTGGTCCACATCAGTTTCTTCTTTTCCCCTATAGTCATTTCTATCTTTCTGTGCTTGTTTCTTTTGAACACCTTCTAACTTTCTTATGGTTTTTAAACAAAAACCTATTTTAAGTGTTTACTTTGTGAAACAGTGATTAAATTAGTAATAGACAATAAAGAGGACACTCAGCCTTAGACTCCAGAGAACCCCAACTCCTTAATCTTTCCACTGAGTTCAACAGACATTAAATCTTCATGTCTTGACTTCTTCATCTTAGAGACCAACAAAATCTTCAAACCATAATCATCAGCACCTGAATCCTTTCAGAAAGGATGTGTAAGTATAAACCAATGAAGAAGCAGTCATAAGAAGCTGTTTTCAGCTCTGAAAATACTAAGTCATGTTCTGTAGTGTGCTGAAATGACTTTTCTTTCTCAGCCAACCTATGTAAAGCCTTCACACATTTGTGAGAGTCCAAGTAGCTGATTGGTGTTGATCCACTGCAAGCTTTGGAGGGGAAACTCTCTCTCAGTTGAGTGTGCTCAGGGTTAATCACTTCCTCACAAAACAAACCCTGTTTCTTTGGACTGAGCTTCAACCTGACAATAAGCTTATCACACAGTGGTAATAAACGTAATAGGTTTTGTTGAGAAAACAGTCACAAACGCCAGGATATCACTCAGCTCTAAGAAACATGCCATGTAAAGTTCTCTGGACTAAATCAGATGCACTGAGCCAAAAACGATAGCTTAAATTGTCTATACATTTACCTTTGTGTGAATTAGGTTTCTCTTTTCCATCCCCCATTGTCCTTCACACACTTTCACCTGCCAAAGCACAGATTTAAAATGAGAACTGGGGCAATTTCTTCCCTTTGACACCCAGCAGGAATCCCCAGTTAATCTCTGCATTCCCTCTGGCACCACGGTGTAGTGGCATAACCATACTGGGCTTTTGCAAGAAGCTGATGGCTGCATCTCTTTGGGGACTCCATATACTTTGCAACAAGCCCAAATCTTCTCAGGTTCTTCAGCTTTGAAATCGGCTTGTCTATATTAAAAGGTTCTCCTTTCCTGCTTTACAGCCTCATATTATCAATATGGACATATCATATCAAACAGGACATATCATCAATATGGACAGCATTTTCTTTCTATCTGAATTATAAAGCTTTCTCTTTTTCCCCTCCCCTGTAGACAGCAGTATTGACAGTTCATGAATCCCCCTCCTTCTTTTTTGAGACTTCAAAAGGGAAATATTGACCCAACACACTCCCTACAAACACTGTGACATAGCATATGCCAAGCTCTCTGCAAATCCAGTGCAAACACAGGACAGCGGGGAGCTTACTCCACAGTTTTCCTTGAAGTTGGAATTACTAAGCCTGAAGGATTAACTAAACTTTTACATTAAACTTTATCAACAAAAAAGCTGCTTGTTGTACATATTCTAAATCATGACATCA